CTAGCGGATCAAACAATGACAAAAAGTGGGCAACAAAGCAGCAACAAAGCCCACCCACTCTCGGATTCGCAAGAATACAATCAGCAGCCAGCGCGATGAGCGCGATGACCTAGCACTTCAAACTCGTGGGAATTCGGTATCTCCCTGCAATTAATGTATGAAAGGTAACAGACATGCGTAGAATTCGCCAGCTGACTATTATGCCGGTGCTCACTTTAGGTTACAAAATTACTGAGAAGACACTAACTAGTTTACTTTACCCTTATTTGTATCATTGAATATTTTCGATAAAAGGCTTTCCTATTGTTCAAAAATCAGAAAACGTGGAGAAAATCTTATATGAGACGCGCACTCGGGGAAACAACGCTTTGATTCATTTGTACCAATGCTATATTTGTATAAAGTTGATAGAACCATTTTGACAAAATTATTTTGATGTACACTAAATGTTCTGAGTTTATAACTATTTTTACTTCAAAGTTTATTTTCAGAATTTTTGATTTTATGCAACACAATATATTGGTAACAACACATAACATATTGGTATTTTTATTTTTTATGAGAAGGAAAACGACAAGAAATTATTTTTCTCAGAGCCGCTCACGGTGCTATGTAATCACGCATATTTACGTCTGGACAACAACCCGGTTTACATAGCATATTTGACGAGGCTCTAGCTCGTTAATTTGGCGATAATTTCGATGCAGTGGTCTTCAAATATTTAGAGGGGATCATTTTGTAAATTGTTCAGCACCATTGGCATATTTTGCAACATCACGGACGGAGATATAAGCTTGCAACAAACCCTATGTAAACGCGTCTAACGAGTTGCGGGGAAAAGTGCTGATTGTGTTGCAGTTTTAGGAGCCGGTGATTAGGCTGGATTTTTGGGTTACTTTTTCGTTCCGATTCATGTATGTCATAGTGTTTGGCTTTTGAATATTTTATTTCTTTCAGATGAATATTACTTGCCTTACAACTTTTGTAAAAACGTTTCATTTTTATAAGCCGACGTTCAGAGTCCTAAAAATACATCAGCACTACAATCATTGTAAACAAACAGATGGAGCACCACTTGGCTCTGTTCCAAGGCCATTTTTTTAGTTTATCTGGTGGTTTTCTTGCCCTTGTACGTCGTTTTGTTGGATGTTTTGAATCCCTTAAGATTGACTTATATCATATTTAAGAAGCATGTTGACTGAAAACAATCTGAAGTATCCAGGAGGCTGACAGAGGTCCTGACTACTGAGCAATATCAATATCAAGTTGAACAAGTTATGAAATTTTGGTTGATAAACGCAAGTTGATCGGGCTCATATATCAGCAAGAAAAAGTAAAATTAAAAGAGGTTATTGTCCAAAAACAAGCTATAATATTGCAGACCTTGGAGCAATACTGAAGAGCATGCTGAGCAGGATCATGCCAGAAAATGTTGACTGATGAGCGCATATTGATGTATTGGTATGAATATTGAATGATAACTTACAACAGCAAGATAAATTAGTGCTAACTATCAAGTTAAAATCTAGAATGAATGGACTTGAGCAGTTTTACTATGCTTAGATGCTATGCAATGTGCATCAGGCACTCAGTGTCTGGCAAATGAAACATGCGATCATTCCATTGCTACTGGAGGAGAAAGCTTGGATCACTAAATCCACTTTATGTTGAATTTGATGTTAATCATCATCACTGTATTTCTTGAAAAAAGGATTGTAGTAAAATTGTCAATGTGACAACTGACAATCCATGCAACGATGTGATCATATGTGTTCATAGTCTCGTGATAGTCATTATTGGTCCAATATACAATGGCAAAGCTCTCAGTCTCAGCGTTTCTTCCTGTGGATGGCCAGCAGTGACTCAGAGCTTAAAAGTATTAGTTTTCTTCACAGGGCTGGGATAAAAAGTCCTGAGGGTAATCTTCCAGTTTCCACCAAGGAACTCTGACATGGTATGAGATGTAGGCACAAGTAGGTAGGTGCTCAGTTCCTCTAGTCAGTAGTTGTGTATGTTTAGTCGGGTTAGCATAGATTATATTGTTAGTTTTTTTAATTTGCCAAATGTCCATAAAAATGTGACCTGAGCAATGAGCATACCTGAACCTGACTAACCTGACAGCTGACCTAACCTCAATCATCACACATATTTGCAGCCTACCCAAGACCTGCATGGCAGTAGCACCCAGTTATAGGTAGGTACTCACCCTAACTCAATCTTACCTGCTAACCTTCAACTTGCCAAAAGTTAGCTCACATTGCCAAACTGCATCCAGGGAAACAGTCAACTGAGGAACTGGCTCATTGGGTGGCTGGTGCGAGTCTGTGCATTTAAAGTGTTTCTTCTCTGAAGCTGCTCTGCACTGCTGTATGTCATGTTAGATGCTCAGAAAATGTGGGAAATGATTACTAAGCTACTTTAGTGCTTTGTTAATGCTCGAGACATGAACAAGTACAGATCCTGCAGGGTACAGCTATGAGTTAGGTGCTAGGTGAGTATGTCATGTGAATGTGCTGTTCCCTGTTTGACCGTAAGTATACAAACAAGCACAGGGTCACAGTTATATTCAATCTCCACATATAAACATGCAACAAAATCGGCCATATAGCCTAACTCCGAACACACCACAGATAACTTAGGCCTTTGCAGGCACAAAAATGTTTTGATTAACAGGACAGGTTTACAATATATCCTCTGTCCTTGGGGGATCTTGCTGCCAAGTTGAGGTATGATGACTGAACTTCAGGATTGATTGTGATCAACCTTTTCTTAGCCACTGCTTATATACGAGAAAGACCAAATGCTTGTTTGTTTTGATTTACAGGACAATCAATATATCCTCTGTCCTTGGGGGATCTTGCTGCCAAGTTGAGGTACGATGACTGAACTTCAGGATTGATCAACCTTTTCTTAGCCACTGCCTATAAACGAGAAAGACCAAATGCTTGTTTGTAAACTGCGTTGAAAATTTAATGATCCACCTTCAATTCTGACATGAAGGTACAAATGAAATAGTTCCCTCTCCTTTTGGAATACACAAAGCAAAATATTTAATAAATTTTAGTGGATGGACAAGAGCAATTAGCATAGCTTTCCCTCAAGTTAACTTCTGGCACTGTTGATGAATTACACTGACGCTTATTCGCTTCATATTTTGTAACAAAAGCGCTAAAACTGCAATATAACAGCACTATATGCTTCTTGACAAAATGCAATAGTATTAAAAATTTAGCCCTGATGGCATTCATTCTTGGTGGAAACGTAATTACAAAATATTTTGTAGTAACTATTAAATTCCGGCCGAAAACAGTGCACGGTTTAAAAAAGAATCATTCCAGTCCATTCTTGCGGTCCTGAAATCGCCACTATTTCCGGCCTCTCCAACGCAACTCGTTGTCCAGACGTAAATATGCTGTAATCACAGGGGAGCACTGCCGCTTCAACCCTATTGGCCGTAGTGTCTAACGGTGGCGGCCATATTGCGCAGACCAGGAAACGGCTGCCGCCTGTGTTGAGGAATAGGGAATTCGGGACCTCGATTTACGTTTGCGGCCGCCGTATCCGTTACGTTCAAGTTACGTAGATACGGAACCCGGCATCTTACGCAGAATTGAGTGGGGAACACGATCGTATCTTCAGAATTCCACAAATTCACTCGCCTGACCTACATTTGCCCCGGCCGAGGGGGTTGATTGAACCCACCTCGCTAATGCACCGCTAATTAAACTAGAATTAAGCGGTAAAGTGGTCGTATGCGGCAAAGTATAATGCAGAGTGACTGGTAGGAACCCGCTATAAGGGTCTCAGGTCAACCGGTGACCTCTGAGGTCAGGTCAAGTGATCTAAGGCACGGGTTCGGTTTTTGGTAAATAACTTCGCCAAAAATGGCCGTAGAGCCGCGATTTTGGCATCATCGTGTTCAGCTAGCTCAGGCGCATCGAGTGATATACTTTTTGTTCGGGTCAGGTCAACTTAGGGTGTTGACCTCAGGTCAAGGTCAGGTCAGCACCCCCAGGTCACGAAGTTGGTCGAAAGAGGTCATGTCGCATATCATTCGATTCGGCAGGTCTTCCTGAGTCCATTGGTGGCTTTCCCGACTCGCTAGCTCAATTTGATCGGGAGTTATTGAAGAAAAATGGTGACCCTTGTGACGTCACAAATGACGTCACGCAAGGGCAACAATGCAAATATGAAGCAAAGAACCTTGCAAAGAGTGCATGAAATCATGATTTTATATGCTTGAGATAGTTTCAGATCATTCTCGGCGCCAAAATAACAATTTTCATATTTCCCCATTGACTTATAAGGGTTTAACGTATTAGTTCCTTATAGCTGATGATTTTTTAGGATTTCATCTTGTTCTCCACTCAATTCTGCGTAAGATGCCGGGTTCCGTGTCCACATAGCTTGAGCGTAACGGATGCAGCGACCGCAAACGTAAATCGAGGTCCCGAATTCCCTATTCCCCAGCACAGGCGGCGGCCGCTTTCTGGTCTGCGCAACATGGCGGCACCGTTGGACACCATTTGGCGGCCGATGCGCATTCCACATTATAGAGTTCAGTGTATGTAATAGACCAGCTGAACAGAGTGCGCCATATATCGTCTCGAGTAAACGCAGGGGTGGAATGGGAACTAGAGATGCAAATTGTGCTCAAAGCTCGTCATTCTCCGAACTTGCACCTCTGAGGTTATTCGAAAAGAATGCCTTGGGGACAGCGATAGCCGATAACAGTCAGCAATTGCAATAAATGTATAGGTAGCACATGATTCATACAGGGGAAACGGTGATGGTATCTTACGTGACACGGTAACGGAACAGAATGCGTAAGAAAACATAAAAGTACCCTTCGGTTTTCAACCTTCCAGGCTACTGATCCGGAGTGATGATCGCTTAGGCCTTCCACATGACGTCAGACTTCAGAGGTGTCATCACTCATCAGCCTGCCGTTTCATAGGTCCCACGCCTTTCACATGCCACATTCACTACAAAAACGCGAATGAACGCTGAAAACATCGATTTATTTCATTTCACGATGCACAAAGCAATCAACAACGAAGGCTTTGAACTAAAATCGCTTGACCAATCACATGCAATAAGACAACTAAGTTCAACTGAACTTATGGAGTCGGTGAATTCAGGAATTGCACTACTGTCTAGGCTGGTGTTGGGAAGGGGCGAGGGCGTTCAGAGTACGACGCGTGCCAGTGAAAGATTGGGAAAAGTTACGCTCAGTATAACACGTATCTATGACACTGTATGGCATCAGTACCTATAGTCTATTTATCACCACCAGTTTTTTTAGTGATAATCTTTGGACATAGATAAATCTCTCTAAAAGTGATCGCAGCAAATCAAAGCAATGACGTCTGTAGAAATGTAACTCAGCAAACGCTCCACTTACACAGCACATTCAAAACAAATGTCGTCGCAACCTCGATTCCCACCGCCTGAAGATCACATCTTGCATCCATATATGCTATACGCTCTAAAGTGATACCTATTTACACCGTAGGTAGAACAAGTTACATTAAAATAACTGACTAAAATCTAGCAGAACCGGTGATCTTGGTCGAAATATCCCGCGCCACGAGACCAGGGCGAGACCAGGTGTTTTCATCTTTATGGACACACGCCCAGAAGAGCATTCTAGCCACATCGCGGTGAGACGGCACTGACTCGGCCTCAGCACCGCTCAAAAGCAGCGGGACCGCTACATTAGCCAGTCTCAGCCCACGCCAGCTGTCCCAGACTGCGCGCTGCCCTGGCCCGGCCCCGGCGGCTCCACTGGTCCCGCCCCGGGCGGTCGCGCGATCCGCCAGTGGAGTGGAGGCGGGGGTGGCGAAGAAGCCCGTTGGACCCGTCTCACTGCAGAACGTACGGCAGGTCGTCGTCGAACCCGAACCTCTGCGAACGGGACACGACGAGTGATCAGGTATAGACAGTTAATGTCAAAGGTCGACTGAAGACCAGGGACAAGAGAAACAATTCAGGGCAGGGTGCACTGCGTAAATCATCCGGATAGCATTTTCGGTTAAACGTAGAGCTAAGTAGAAAAAAATCGCGAGACGATGCAGCAAAAAATAAATAAAAACTAACGATATAAAGCGTTGCCGATAGGCAGCGAGAGTGCTACACATTACACAATGCTAAATAGAAGCGAGATTCAACTTTGGTTTTATAATACTTGCCGAACTTATCGGAAAAGCTGCGGCACAAAATAAGGGACAATGTAAGTATTCAGCGTACCACACGCGCACGCACTTCGTTCGTATCAACAAAATTAGTATAGCGATCTATAAACATTATCGCATCAAGGGTAGCTATGCCATATTTTCAAATAAGAACGTTTTCAAACCGTAGCCTCGTCTTAACCCGACATTGACCGGGGTTGCATGAGCAGAGTAAATGCGCATTACAAACGGACTATAATATGGTGAGCGAATAGGAAAATCCATTCCTGATACATATTTATTGCTCATGTAACCCAGGTAAGTGTTCTTGAACTATCCTGCCTGACCTTGACCCGCTCCCTGCACTGACCTTGGCGGCGGCTTTGAGGGCGAACACGGAAGCCACGCCCACTCCGAAGGTAAACAGGTACTTGAGGGGCGTCAGGCTGGGCAGCTTGGGGTTCTTCAGCAGGTTCTTGGCACGCTCCATCTTCTGCGGCGTGTACGGCGGGTAGCGCACCCTGTCGGGCGGGAAGGGTTAGAGCGTGCTGACAGGAAAGTAAGACGGTATGAGAGAGATGTACAAAAGTTATTCAGCGGGAAATTATGCTTTCAGTCATGAATCATGGCTGGCAGTTGGCACAAACATTTAGACCTAACTGCAGTGAGAAAACTGACATAGGGTGTTGGCTTCTATCACAGCACTAAGGTACCGGGCTTCTAAGTTCTAGGTAATGTAATATAATGCAGCTTAATCACCGATTACGCCAATTAGCTCGTAAACACAACTTACGGATCAGGCATCACCGTACCACCCCAACCCACACCCTTTCACTCGAACGTCTCCAATCCGATATCTCCCTATCAACCCTCCCCCTCTCCGGCGGACGAGCCATAACTCACGAGCAGAGTTTCTCGACGAGGGGGTTGAAGCCGCGCTCCAGCACCGGCTTGTAGTGTGTGAACGTGTCGAACGAGAACTTGCCGTGGTAGGCGCCCATGCCGCTCATCCCGACGCCACCGAACGGCAGCTCCTCAACTGGGGGTGGTCGGGTCACCAGAGATGTCACCGGAGAGGTCACAGAGAGGTCGGCTCGGGTCACGGGAGGTCAGCTCGGGTCACGAGGGGTCAGCGGACAGCAATGGTACGGACTGTTTAGGTGAACGAGGGTGCATAATGCTATTATAGCTGTTTACAGCTCTGGTATTAGGCTTCAGACCGGGTAGTTCAGATTTAGTCACTTGGATTGACCTTGCTTGGACAACAATAATCAACTAAAAATATGAAATGTTTATTGAGAATGCACCATGGTCTATCAAAACTGGATAAGTAAATATCACAAAAATGCTGATAGCCACGATAAGAATTATCATCAGAGCGAGAAGCATTAGGCATTAGTCGACATTTCCAGGTACCTAAGGGTTAACAAGGTAACAAGATTACAAGGGTGCTGTGGAGACAAAATAATTATTATTCAAAGAACTTTGAGCAGTGACGGCGATGGAGAACACCAGATATTACCGAAACAATACAGGGTAAAATTAAATCGTGTGGAACGCCCTATCGACCAATACTTGCAGCAAATGTCACAGGTGTTAGGTTACGGTAGTATACACGTAATTGCAAAATTGGAGCCACAATCTAGGTATAAATCTAAATGGTCTAGTAGGTACATATGATACAAGACCACATCAAATATAACAATTTTCACGCCAAAATGAGCCATCAATTCCCTAAAATGCCGTCACTGAACGCAGCCTTCATTGCCTACACTTTTACAAACGCCTGGCACAATACCGAACCGGGTCACAGCAAATACCTACATTATCAAGCGTGACTAAAATCAATCACAATTTACGCGTCAACCCACACGATGCATCCTCTCATCCTCATCCATAGGATAACTCGCATCCAGGTGAGCAATGAGCATGCTGTCCGGTTTGGCGCACGCAATTCATTAAAAAATTACAGTGCCTACTGCCTAGCATAGTAGTGGTTATCAATCGGCAGCCGGTCCAAAGCTTGTTGAAAAGTTAGATATAGCTCGAGCGTATGAGAAGCCACATACCTACCTTCTTTGTCATGCGCAGGATCCGATGTGTGAATCTGCTGAATCACTCAACCACATTTCATTCTATTCTCAGTTTCGGCCCACAACTTTACACTTCTCAACAAATCCTTCTCTTTCAAGCCTAACACATCCTTCAAGCCCCAAAAACGTCCTTCCTTCCCTTCTCTCCCACGTCACAGCACCATACCTGCCATGTGCACGAGCACGTCATTGATGGTGACCGCTCCTGACGTGGTGTCCCTGACGAAGCGCTCGTTGACGCCCGAGTTGCTGCTGAACGAGTACAGCGCCAGAGGGGACGGCCTACAGCAGATAGGGGGTGTTGGAGGCCGCGGGGGCGCGCAACACAGTGTGATTGGAGGTAAGGGAAGGAGTTGAGGGCTCGATCAGATTGGCACGGGTGGAGAAGGTTTGAAAAAGTTACCCCGGCCGGCGACCGAAAGTCAGAAAGACGATGATGCTCAAATCTTTGTCAACGGTTATCAACAAACCCCTATTCTGTGGCATAGAATAATGGATGTCTGCCGTTTGTACGTTTTTTAGGGAAAACTGCTGCACGCAGGTGCGGAAAATTTCGTAATTGTAATGTCGTACTGCGCTGTGGGTAGCGCTTGGCTGGACGGACGGTCTGTGACAACCTATTGATCTGTGGCTGATCTATTAGAGTGTCCGTCCGAGAGCCGTACGACGGCTGACAGAGCCTGGGGGTCGCGAACTGGTGTGGTAACCGTTACGCCCACCTGGGACGCCCGAGTCGGTACGGCACTTGCGGTGTCGTAACCGGATCGGCGGGAACCAGCAGAACGCTGTTGGACCGGCGGTGAAAGTCGGAACCGAGCACTCGCCCACCAGTGGGGCGTCTGGTCGAGCAGGTCTACCCGCTAAGGCAGCCTGAGCACGAACCAGTGGCAGGGTCCGATCAATGACCGTGGTCCGACCAGGGTGTCAGCGCAATGGCCAGTCAGAGGCGTCTTTAAGGGCGCGGAAGCCCACCTCGGTCGACTGTGGCCGGTGCAACCTAGTCAGGTCGTTTGTGTGAATCTCCGTGTTCTTCCCTCGCCTCAGAGTAGCCGCTCTTCTCCAAATGCCCGAGCCGTTTTCTATGTGTATTTGTCTTGTAGCGAACAGCAGAGTCGAGAAACGAATTGACAATGTCGCCGAAAACCGCGGTCACATGCTGGCCGTCCCTAGTACTACCAATATGCCCGCAGGCGCGGCGAGAGACAAGCTCAACGTATGAGTCACCGTCCGGCTGCCGGGAGAGCCCCTACCGCGACCTTTGTCCACAGTCATGACGTCACGACAATGGGCTCCTAAACGTACGGGCAGCGGCCGCCTCAGGGGTGCCGCCGTGCAAGTATGAATATTCTACCCCTTTCTGGACACCCTTGCCTTGTTAATCGGACGCCACATGAGCCGAATTAAAGTAAAGTTTGCTTCTCTCTCTTGCTTGGGTCAGAATTAAATAGCTGACAGTAAAGTAAAGTAAAACGAAAGATCTGGCTCATTGCCAGCCTTAGTAATTTCCCCTTCCCTGGCGGTTGCCTTAGGCATGCCGGGAAGACAAAATTAAAAAAAAAAAAAAAAAAAAAGACCTTTGCACGACACGTTCTATAGCGTATGGCACAGCGGTTACTAGGAAGGTTGAGGCCAGCGGCAGGCCGGTTTACAAATAACAAACATGACGCGCAATTGACAACAGGTAACAGATTGATTAATAAAGCGGTGACAATATAAATGAGAATGACAACATGAAATGACAAATCGCATAGATGACAAATTGCATAGATGATCCCTACAGTACCCCCTCGCCAGACATGTCGCGGACAAAAGTGACATGGCGATATCTTACCGGAGGTCGTACGACGCGGCCGGAGCGGGTCGTCCGTAGTATCGGCTGAGGCTGCAATGGTGCAGCGTCAGCCCGAGCGACGGCTGCAGGGCGAGTTGGTGCGTCACCGTAGATCAGAAGCTCCGGGCCGCTGGGCTCATTGCTGAGCGGTGGTGCGGCCGGCGGGCCGCTGGACTGAGTACCGTGCGGCTGCACAGTCGGCAGGTCAGACTGTCGATGACCGGATTCGTCTGGCGTCTCCAGGAAGGCGACCTTACACCGGTCGATGCTGATGACCTCCTTTTTCTGTCGACGGTCGATGGTGATGGTTTTGGTGGTCCTTTCGGTAACCGGGAACGGTCCGTCGTATGGAGCGTCCAGCGGGTAGCGGTGACAGTCCCTGCGCACGAAGACGTGTGTCGCCGTCTGGAGTGCCGTCGGGACGTACGTGGCGCGCTGGACCGGACGTGGGAGTGTCGGCCGCACCTGAGACATGGCGCGCTTCAGGTCCTGTACGAAACCGGCCGGTGATGCTGCTGAGGCTTGGCTGCTGGTGAAGAACTCACCAGGAAGCCGCAGTGTGGTGTTGCCGGTATTGCTGCTGTTGCCTCTGCTGCTGCTGCTGCTGCTGTTGTTGCTGCTGCTGCTGCTGCTGCTGCTGCTGCTGCTGCTGTTGTTGCTGCTGGACGGTCGAATGGTGCCTTGCTGGAGCATCTTGTTGAACTCGGCACGTGCGATTTGAAGGCGCTCCAGCGGGAGGCGTCGTGGCCGCTGGTACACCGGTGGACCCTTGGTGACGATGTGGTGCGTCACGTTGTGCTTCACCGGTGTTGGTCCAGGTTTTGGTGAGGTCACATCCGGGTACCGGGCGAGGACAGCTGCGAAGCGAGCAGCAGCCTGCTCCCGGACGAGACGCACTCCGATGGAGCACAGCCTTGACCGCTCGGCGCTGGCGCAGACGGTGCCGTCCCGCAGGAGACGCTGGTTGGCAACGTCCACGACGAGGTGATGTGCGGCCAGGAAGTCGGTGCCCAAGATGGGTGTGGTGACGTCAGTGACGAAGAATCGATGTTTCAGGCGGTGCTGCTGACTCAAGGTGACGTCCAGCAGGCAGGTGCCGTGCACCGCGATCGGTGAGCCGTTTGCCGCGACGAGCTGCTGGCCGACAGGAGCAGGGGTCAGCGTAGACCCGTTGGGCAGGCAGCGGCGAGGCAGCACGCTGACCTGCGCCCCCGTGTCGACTAGAAATTGCCGGTCCGTCTCCGTGTCCCTCACGAAGAGGAGTGGCGCGGCAGGAGGGGCGCCCGTGCTTTGCGCCATCAGCACGGGGCGCCTCAGTTTTCCGAGGCGATCCAGGAGCACGGCAACTTGCATCGGCGCGCTTGGGCGCCGAATCGCTGGTGGTACCAACACAGCGTGTCGTCGTGCGGCGGCGTTGAAGGACGAGCCGGTGACGGGCGGCGTGACTGGCGAGGCGCCTGGCGCGGCCGGGAACGGCTGCGGTCGCGTCGCACGGCGTCCTCGAGTCGTCGGTTGCTGGCCTCCAGGCGCTCCATCTTAGCGACCAGGGAGGCGATGACGGTGTCCAGCGCAGGGGTTGCAGCTGGCGCTGGGGCTGTCACTGCAGCAGCGATGGGCGGTGCCGGCTGTGTGTACGGCTGTGCCGCGATCGCTGATAGCCGTGGGTCCGGTCCGCTAGCTTCCAGGTACCGGTCGGCCGCTTCTGCCAGTGCGTCAAGCGTGCTGTCGGCTGACAGGAGGGCGAGAGCAGCACGGACGGGTTGCGGTAGCCGTTGTTGAAACAGGGTACGGAAGAGCTCTGTATCAACCGGGGCGTCCCCGGCTGCGGCTAGCTCGTTGCGCATTGAGCGCAACAGCGCCGTCGGCTTCTGATCGCCGAGCTGCTGGCGGCCGAGCAGGGCTTGTAGTCGGTCGGCGCGTGACTGTGCCAGGCGGGCTTGGAGCGCCGCACACAGCACGTCAAAAGACCGAGATGACCGGATGACGTCCTTGACCTGGACGGCGATGTTGGCGGGGAGGTTTGCGACGAGGAGCTTAAACCTCAGCTCGTCGGAGTCGACCCCGCTGACGTCGAAAGCGCACTGCACCTGCAGTAGCCACAGGTCGGGCTCTTCCGGAGAGTATGGTGGTAGCCGGAAGCTAGCCATGGGCCGATGAGTTGACTCAGAGGCTGAAGCTGGAACGCTGGCTGGGTCTTGAGCTGCGGCGCCGGACTGTGCGCTGTCCGCGGGCATGACGAGAGGCTAAGGTCGAACAACGGAGATCACGTCGGGGTCACTAATTGTCGTACTGCGCTGTGGGTCGGGAGAGCCCCTACCGCGACCTTTGTCCACAGTCATGACGTCACGACAATGGGCTCCTAAACGTACGGGCAGCGGCCGCCTCAGGGGTGCCGCCGTGACCTTTGCACGACACGTTCTATAGCGTATGGCACAGCGGTTACTAGGAAGGTTGAGGCCAGCGGCAGGCCGGTTTACAAATAACAAACATGACGCGCAATTGACAACAGGTAACAGATTGATTAATAAAGCGGTGACAATATAAATGAGAATGACAACATGAAATGACAAATCGCATAGATGACAAATTGCATAGATGATCCCTACAGTAACAACAATTTTGCAACACGCCTGAAAATTTCGGACGCATGTCACCTAGTGCTAGGTCAGGTCATCAGGTCAAATTTGCTGGATGATCGTGCTAAAAATGCCATCATGCCCTTTGCAAAGCTTATTCCGTGGAAGTTGCAACCTTCCCACACAAACAAAATGTCAAATTTGACCGTTTTGACCCTCTTATTGATTTGAGCTCGCACCTGAAATATTATTCGCGACCGAGCCTTAAACAAGTAATCGAATGTTTTGTTTGCAGTGTTTAAGCTCCGTTATGTTCATGAACTGTGAGAAAAGTTGTCGGAGAACGCTAAAAGAGAAATTTGGCTTTTGATGATCTATGGTGATTTTATTATTGAGTTTGCCTAAAACATGACCAGATTTCTCTGATCACGTTTGTCGCTCTTTCAAACGTCGTTCCGCTTCTCGCCTCGTAGCCCAGTAGCCGAGTTAGAAGGAGCGTGAAAAGCCCACCTCTCGACTCAACGTGTTACGATAAGGCCACCACCCTGGCGCGGGTTAAGTTGGGGGAGCCTTGAGCCCCAGCAGCTCGTCCTTCTATCTCACTTATATTATCCTCGTCCTGTCTTGTGATGTTATTACAGTGCCATCTTACGATAACGGCCCTTAAATATGATTTACTTCTGTTTGATGAAACATGTCGGGCTCCGCGATGAAAAGACTTAAAAACATAGAAGCTCCAAAATGAAAATAAAGTAAATTTTCAAGACCTTTTCGAGGTAGATAAGAATAATGAGAGACGTTTTTATAGATGGCAGTTTTTTGTATGGAGACAGCTTTTAGGATTTACAAAAGTGGAAAAAGTTACCCCGGCCGCGCCGGGGTCGGCTGAAAGTTACCCCGGCCACGGCCGGGGTGGCCGGGGCAGGTTCTCCACCCATGCAGATTGGTGCGAGTTGGTGTATGTGCGAGAAGGGTGTGCCTATTGTGTCACTGAAAAATCGTGGAAAATTGTAAACATATAAACCGGAAGATGTGTGCAAGGATGAAGTATTTTCCTATTATGTGAAATTGAGGGTAGGAGGAACTAGTTCCTAACTGTTCGGTTTTATACGCGAAATATAACTGCTAAAAGGATAGTAAACAGAAGAGCAAAATATGTACAGCGCTGGAGTACGGCAGGATATAAGAAGAGTGATGACGAATTGTAGTAAAGAACGCTTCAAGCCTGCAAATTGTTTGCTTCTTTATCGCAACAAAGCGCTGACAAAGATCTCCAGCTCGACAGCCACGGCTCTTGATCACAAAAACGACTACATCTGCAAAACTTCTTGTGTAAAACAAATGTTGGACCACGGTCTCTCGTTCTGTGTTGCACTGACGTCGCACAAACAGCTTCCAACTCCGCTCCGCTCCACTCCATGCCAGCTCCGCGGTTTGGACATCTCGCAGCTCCCTTATATACAGGGTGTCCGGAAATTGATTGCGCACTCTTCTAGTCCACTTTACAAGGAAACAAAACATGCATGGGTCATGGTTTATTTACCGATATACCCTCCACCCAATCGCACACACTCCCTCATACGGTCGTGCATGCCGCACATCAGGTTATACAGTGTATCTGCACTAATGCTGAGCCACGCTCGCTGGAGGTTCCTGATAAGCGCTTGCTCGCTGATAGCCGGCTCCATCATGTCGAGCTCGCTCTGCACGATAGCCGCAAGTTCTCGATGGGAGACGGGTCAGAGCTGTTGCCCAGTCACACACCCTTGTCCCAAAACCCTGGGAGGTTGTCCCAGCACCACCGTTGAGTGCTGGCGTCGTGATGAGCTGAAGCACCGTCTTGCTGGAAGATCGCCTCGGACATCTTCGGGAGCAGCTCGACCTGTGTTGGCGCCCCCGTCTGCCTCTTCCGCTTATCGTGGACGCTGCAGACTTCTTCAGAACTCCTTCACGTAGTACTGGGCCGTCACAGTCTGACCGCGGGGGAAGATGTGGAGCTCTGACAGGCCCCAATGACTCATCATGGCTCAGACCATGAGTTTCAGCGACTGCTTCACCGTGTCGATGGCAGGCACTTCAGCACTGTTGTGCGCCCAGACGCACTCGTTCTGGCGATTCAGCGGGTGCATGAGCTCGAACACAGACTCATTGCTGAACAAGACGCGCCGCCAGTCCTGAATGGTCCAGTTCTTCTGCTCCCGGGCAAATACCAGACGCTTCCGCTTCTGGGCTTCGGCCAGTTTTGGCTGCCGGCGCAGATTGAGCGGTTTGAGACCCAGGCACTTGGCCATGTATTTGTGAACAGTGGTCTTCTCGACACCGCTTGACCCTTCTCAGTCAGCTTTTTGGCCAGTTTCCGCGTCGATTGGCGTCTTTGCAGCACGGCCTTAGCGAGCACGATTTTGGCCACTCTGCTCAGCACAGTTTTTCTCCCACGGCCCTTGCGATTCTCCAGTGCTGCACCGCTGCGGTCGAGAACCAGTCAGTATATGAAGGGTCCGGCGAGATACATCCACTTGTCGGGCAACATCACCTACCGTCATCCCGGTTTCAACCATTCCAACCGCGCGGTAGCGCGTCGCCAAAGTGTGCTCCCTCGCCATTCCCGATATGGGGCCCGCGCGCGAAGACTGACTCTCGGAAAGCGACCTGTGGCCACTCACTGCCGCTGGGGTCAGGTCACCTGCTGGGTCACGTGATCACCTGACACGCTGGGGTGCCCGGGGGCGGGGTCGCGAACCTCCCTAAGCGGTTTGGCGGGAGCACGTGCAAGATACGTGAATATGGACAGTGTGCAATCAATTTCCGGACACCCTGTATGAACGAGCTTTAGGCGTCTTTACACGAATATTCGGGTACGAGGTAAAGTGCGTCGCCTCTCCTTTCAGTCAGCTCTTCTTTCGCTGTTCACTGCGCTTTCTCAGCACATCTGCGTTCGGTGTTTGTTTACAGCTGCGAGCGAAATCCCTGACGTCAGCGGGAAGGTGCGAACTGCGAACGAATCATCTTTAGTCGCCGGGATCGTACGCCTGGTTGCCGCCGTGTCTTTCGTTTTTGTATCTACATACAGCGCACGAAGGTTTCAGAAGTTCGTTGAAATCCATGACTGACAATCATATGTTAGTTTACCTGATATTAGCGACGGCCTGCTGAAGGCTCAATCCTTACCTTTGGCTATCCGAGCTGTACACTGTTATAAGAGTATCGAAAGGGGAGTTTTATTACCCCCTGGCGGCGCTATATCACAGACTATGGCATAAAGCGTTACCTCCGTAGTGCATCAGCGTCTCGTTGAAAACAATGCCTCCGGATGAGGTTTCGGAAAGCATCCTCTGGTGCGTGTCCGCGTCCGATGTGAAAATGTAGGCCGCCAGCGGCCGTTCTCTGTAGGTGGGCACGCGTCTGGCGTCAGCCGGTGCTCTGTCGCCCCTCCTAGTCCCGGCCTCGGCCACACAGACACACACGGAACAAACAAGGGGCCGGTGGGCCCACACACGAATATATGTACAGACGGGGACCTGTCACCAACACTGACCGCACACAGTAGAGACAGATCACTGAAGAACGCAGCACAGAAGAGATAGGGATATGGGAGACTGGAGACTGGAATTGAGGTCGGTTGAGTTCACAGACTATTGTGCAAATAAATGGTATAGTAAGGTGGAACTGATAAATCAAATCATAAATTTATCCGACAACTCAGAGTGTGAACAATGCTAGAAGAACTGGTCTATGAAAACAGGAAATAGGTTGAGAATTTGGAGCTATTGGACACAATACCAGAAATAACGATTCTTAACTTATCAAACGCAGTCACCCGATGGGATCAAGGGTTGAAAGATGAGGAAGACATACCAAAGCACCACTTCACAGATCCTGAGCGACTCGATCAGACAAACAATTCCTGAACCGACAGGCGACAGCCCACAGCACAGACAGAATAACCCACCCGCTGGACCCACGGCACTAATGATTGAAGGCCAACCATAAGCGACGCGTGCAGTGAGGGTAGCGTGCAGAGCATGCAGCATGCCGCACAGAAGCCATGCGGTTCTAGCGGACATCACTCGTTCTCTTGTCATCCCCATCGACAGGGGCACGTCACCCGTGACGTCACTTGGCCGCCAGACGCGTCAATGACGTCACACCCCGCGTCACGGACGTCACCAGCTGCGTGACGTGACGTACCGTCACGTGACGTGACATACCTCCGATGTGGAACAGAGTATCGTTGACAGTCACACCGCCGGCGGTAGTGTTTTTGAGGAGCAGCGTCTCTGTCGACTTGTCCTTGGTGAAAATGTAGAACGCTAGGGGCTTGTCTCTGCAAGGCCGGCCCCGGGACAGTGATATTTGGGGGCAGTCGGAGATCGAGTCTCGGTCAGGAGACATGCTGAGACTGCCTTCACCGATAGAAAGTGGGGGAGGAGACAGCGATGCTATATTCAGATGCAGTTTATAGAAAGAGTAGCTGAGCCTTCACCATAATATATACAGGCTATGAAGCAGATAAGTGAAAACAGTGACTTAGTGGCAGTAGAACTGCGTTATTCAAGCTTAGTTGATGGCAGATGCCAGTGCTTCCTACAGAGTTGTGATGAGACTAAGTTGAATATGAAAAATGGGACGGAACAAGTCATGCACAATGCACATCGCAGTCAATAGGCATCAATAACATTCGTACAATTAACATTGAACAATCATGACACGCATCTAGATACTACGACGGAACATGAGCAACTGCAAGAAAAAACGTCACAACTGGCATATGTTGATATACAAACAGCCACAGACACGTCATGCCGTCAGTAGATAGGTGGGGAAAACAGCAGGCAGCAATCGGGGACCTAGCGGCCGGCAAATGACACCAACACACACTAGATACATGTCAGTGGCAGAACAAATCCACCCCCAGCCGAACAAAGCACACACTGCGTGGAAATCACTGAGACTTCGTACCAACACAGAACGCCACCTACCAGCCCAACCAACACAAAACAAGGGCCACGTATCATCGAACTCAACCTCCCCAACAGGTTCCTCCCATTTCCTCACACGGCATTTACTTTGAATTTCCCTCAAAAGCTACACAAACCGAACATCCCTTCCCAGACAAAAAAAAAACTACACCCTCCCTCTCGCGAATTTCCCACACTCCTCCGACAGACCCTCCCCCCACCCCAGCAACTTTCACAGCCCCTCCTCAACTTCCCACAGACAACAACCTTGCCCTCCTCAGCTTCTCACAAACCCTCCTCAAACAGCTCGTCAGTAGTCACCCCCCCCCCCCCTGTCCACCTCCCAATGCGCACACTTTTCCCTCCCCCAGCTCCCTCCCCCTAGCCATTCAGGATTTACACAGTTACCCACGACTACCCACAACCTATCTTCAATGAGTTCAACCTACGCACAACTCAACTCACTCCACCCCTCCACCTCCCTAGTCACAAACGTTCCCTCCCAACGTTTCCCTTCCCAATTACTCTCCACACATTTCCCTCCTCCCCTTCCATCTCCGTCCGTCCCCACGTCGTACCGGCTGTTGATGAAGTGGATGGCCTCGGCGGCCGACTGGACGGTAACGATGGGCAGCACAGGGCCGAAGATCTCCTCCTGCATCACAGAGTCGTCTGGCTTGACGTCCGTCAGCACGGTGGGCTCGATGAACAGGTCCTTGGCGTTGGACCGGCCGCCCAGCGCCACCTTACCAGACGACTCGAGCAGCTTCTTCACGCGTCTGTGGCAGGCGGGGAGGGTGGTGGGAGGGGTGAGTGATGTGTTATGTGAAGAAATCGTGGGAGGTGGATGCAAAGGGAAGATGAATGTAAACTGATGACAACAGTATTAGTCATTAATGTCAAGATTGAAAGAAATTCAAAACAATTTTTGGTCATTGATAAGACGAACATGATTATGTTCCAATGTAATAAATTTACACCATGTAGTCATGCTATCAAAGCCGGAGAATGCACTTTGGCCGTTCTAAATCGGACTGTCCAGACACCAGACCGGAATGTCACCACGACGTAGCGTCGCCTGATGGTACGAGACGGACTATCAGCTGATATATCCTCAGTATCAGTGGCTGGCTACTCAAACGTGCTCGTCAGTTCGAGTACCAAAGCTGAGCGCTGTCACTGAGCCACAGTCGAACGACAAACATGGTATTTCATCACCGACCCTCAATACAGAGTCGATTGGTCTAGCTGATTCGGTTCAACAACGGCGGGTTAGGCATTAGGCAATATCATGCCCTCCAATGGCTGAACGATAATGGCCTCTCATACGTGTCTATCCCACTAATGCCACTCTTGAGCTCAGCAAACATTCAGTGCATCTACCGCTGTTCAACTCAAATAAGTTTTAATCATTAAATCACCTGCAAAAGTACGCTCACACCGATAACATCTAACATTCAGGAACCAAACATTCTTAAAAATCCATTTACACCTGAAATTTAAAAGCTGGGGCATTCCACGATAGATCGTACCACTTTTTTCCAATTTGACACCCTCATCTCTCGGAATTTCACGAGAATTGGTCTCAGGGGTAATCAGGGGCTCTGAATCCACCTGTAACAATTTCAGGCTTATCAGATAAGTATTTTTTGAGTTAAGGTGTATAACATTTTTTGGATCTTGCTTTGCAGCGCTAAGTTTGGCGGGCTGTAACTCTAAGACGGATTATTCAAATGCCAAATGTTATATAACATTGAACTGGCAATGAAACAGAGATTAATATGCATTTTTGAAATTTCAAAAAATACGCTATTTTTGATATATGACATATCGAGTTTTCTTACATTTGTATTTTTTGGACTTTGGGACCAATTTTTTTGGAATTTTTATTTCTTTAAAAAGTATTTGGCTCATTGTTAAGAAATATGCAAAACATTAGGAAGGTGTTCTTTCTATAAATGTATTTATTTTACGTCACGATAACTGTTTCCAATAGTGATTTCGGGAGGGGAGCTTACAAATGGCGTGGTAAAGCTGCCTAATGACATCACGGGTTACTGAAATTTCAATTGAAGTCTGAGTCATCTGAAAAAAGTGAAAAGAGGGTTCATCCAACCCTCTTTCTTATAAGCGCGAGGGTGAAAAAGGCTGTTTGGTTCTGACATTGTTTTGGACGCCAATGACCATAGCTGTCCGAGATGAAAGATACAGGACGCATACATGGTGTCCTCCAGAGGTCTCACAACCTGTATATCTGGGAATTTTTTAAGGTTACATGAGGTCAGGTCGGTCACGTGACATCACTGTTATAAATCAATGGGGAAATATAAAAAACTGTTATTTTGGCGCCGAGAATGATCTAAAACTATCTCACGTACATGGTATCGTGATTTCATGCACTCCTTGCAAAGTCCAATGCTTCACTTTTGCATTGTTAACCTTGCGTGACGTCATTTATGACGTCATTAGGGTCGTACTAGTTTTTCGTCAATAACTCCCGATCAAATGGAGCTAGAGAGTCGGGAAAGCCACCAATGGACTCGGGAAGACCTTCCGAATCGAATGATATGCCATATGATACCCTTTGCCCAGCTTCGTGGCCTGAGGGGCTCTGACCTGACCTTGACCCGAGGTCAACTACTTAAGTTGACCTCACCCTAGCAAAAAGTATACCATTCGATGCACCTGAGCTAGGCGAACACAATGATGCCAAAATCGCGGCTCTGCGGCCATTTTTTGCGAAGTTATTTACTAAAAACCGAACCCGTAACTTCAGTCACTTGACCTGACCTCAGACGCTACCGGTTAACCTGAGACCTTAAAATCGGGTACCAATCGCTGCGACTTGTAACGGCACACACGCTCGTTTTTTTCCGCGAGGCTCTAGCTCTATTAGAAGCGAAACGGCGTGCTGGGGTCGTATCAACCCCTCCGAAACCCATTTTGTTTGCGGGAAAATGAGGAACTTATAGAAAGAACACCTTTCTAATTTTTTGCATGTCGATTTGCAATGACATGAAGTTAATTTTGAAAAAATAAAAATGTGAAAAATTTTGGTCCCAAAAGTCATTAGAGGCAAATGAAAAAATATTAAGGTTTTTTCTCAAAAATGAATTTTTTTCTTTGGAATTTTTAAATAGTAATATTAATTTTTGATTCATCGCAAGCTTAGTGTTGTTTATTTTTTTGTTGGTTGCTTAACCCGTTCTTGGGTTATAGGCCATCAAACTTACCGTTACAAACCGAAGTTAAAAAAAATGTAATGGAATATAACTCAAAAAGTTTTGATCTGAGAAGTCTGATATTTTGCCAGGCGTCTTTGGGGCCTATGATTACCCCTAGGACCGATTTTCATTAAAATCTGAGAGATGAGGGTGACGGGCCTGGTACGATCTATCGTGGAATGCCCCAGCTTCATCACATTTGCTTATCCCACTATATCTTTACCGACATCCAAATCACGAATGATTATTTCCTTTTTCTACCCAGCCGGTACCAACTCGAGCTAACTCACACAAGTCTTCCTCGTACCAACTCCCGCCTCTCCCTTTAGGTCGCTATTACCTCACTCTTTCGTCAGCCTCTCTCTCCTCTCTCGCTCTCGCTCTCTCTCTCTCTCTCTCTCTCTCTCTCTCTCTCTCTCTCTCTCTCTCTCTCTCTCTCTCTCTCTCTCTCTCTCTCTCTCTCTCTCTCTCTCTCTCTCTCTCTCCCTCTCTCCACCACTCCCACCATCTCTCCCTTCCCCTCCAGTCTAACACTCACTCGAAGTGTCGCTGGTTGACAATGCGCCCCAGTTCTGCCGCCTCCTCTGGCTTGTCCCCGAACCACTCCTTCAGCACCTGTTTGGCCATGGCCAGGAAGCGCGCCTCGGTCGCCTTGGTGCAGAGCAGGTAATCGGGCGCGATGCACGTCTGGCCCAGGTTGATCACCTTGCCCCAGAGGATCCGACGCACCGCGTAGTCCATGTTGACAGTCTCGTCCAGCCAGACAGGGCTGTAAGGAGAGAGATCAGATATGGCCAAATCAGATGTCGCGAGATCCCAGGAAGACGGTGAAGAAAAGAATATTCAACGTCTGTTAGATACAAACGAGCGCAAGATTAAACGATGTATAGATAAATACGAACGTAAAAAGTAAATGCATGGTTTTAGATCATACCGATTTAACCACCCGTTACCCGTTACATACACTTTGGTGCACCCCTCAAAGCACCAAACAAACAAATTGAGACGAAAACTTCTAAGGCTAATTCTAAACAATTTTCAGCATTGAGGGTTATCTTACACCAAAAGTACTACGGCACACGATGACAAAAAGCTCACAAGCTATCACCTACACCTAACTACTACCTCTCTTCATTCCCCCGGTTCGCGTCACAGCCCGTCCCTACTCCCTACCCCTCTGGCCCACACTGAACTGACCTCTTCCCGCCGAGCTCGAGCGTGACAGGCGTCAGGTGCTTGTTGGAGGCCTCGCGGACGATCTTGCCCACTGCGCTGCTGCCCGTGTAGAAGATGTAGTCAAACTGCTGCTCCAGCAGCTGCGTGCTCTCCGGAATTCCTCCGCAGACCACCGGGAAGCAGCGGCTGTCCACATACCGCGGCAGAGTGTCGGCGATGAAGGCAGACGTGGCCGGGGACAGGTCCGACGGCTTGATGACCACGCAGTTGCCGGCAGCGATGGCGCCGCTGACAGGAACCAGACTCAGCTGGAGGGGGTAGTTCCAGGCGCCCATCACCAGAACCACACCGTGGGGCTCCGGCAGCACATACGGCCGGTCCAGCATCGTGGCCAGGCTCTTCTGGACCTGCGGACCGAGGTGGAAGGGGAGAAGTTAGACAAGGAAATATGAGAGCGTCTTTCTGAGCATACGGGCAGCAGCACAGGGTATCGGAGGATCGTGCGGAGGGCTTAAGAGCCAGGAATTATACATAGACGAGCCGAGGAGTTAGAGAAGGTAGAGCTGGTAACTACCAGCAGGCGATGTGCTTCATTTGTATCAAAAGATTTGCATTATGGACACTGGACACATATAACTGATGAGGATGTACTGCAACTGTACCTACTGAGCATGTAATAAGTTTCGGCTCGGTGTAGTTAAAAGTTAGCACCCTGGGTTATTAAATTTCGGCGATCAGAAAAGAGCGCAGCAGTGGTGCTGATTGCTGAAATCGATAACCTAAAAGCAGAATGGTAATCGTACGGCAAGCGGTAACCTCACATTCAGCAGTGTTCGCTATGTAAATGTAGCACCACTCATTCTTCCCAATCTACAGTTCCCCTATTCAGTACATCTGTACCAGCCCATCCGAGCAGATGTTCGTCCGCCAATACGCTGCGGCCAATATTGTGTGTACTGTGCAGTGTGCAGGGACAATTGCCTGTCGCTGGGTCGACCCCGCCCGGTAGTTTACCGATGGTGCTACGTAACGGTTACGCTGCACATATGAGAATGGCACAGTCGACATGTTTAGAACAGGGTAATAGGGAGAGCGCCTGAGGTCGGTCATACTCAGTTACTGATGAGAAGAGCCGATGACGTGATGATGATTTGTAGTTATGAGCGCCGCATGATGTGCAGGGAAAGATTAAAAACGGACCCTAGAGTAGCGTGTACGAAGCCTTCCGCCCCTCCTCGCGTCCGAGTACTCACTGCCTTAGGTTTTGACCACTCGTCCAGATTATTCAGCATGGTCTTCACGTCGTTGATGAGGTAGTTGACTTCGGTGATCATGGCCTCAAAGGCGTGCTGAAACCAGTACAGTGTCGTCAGACTAGAAAGTTATGCATTTTATGTGAGCACTCGTAACAATGAAGTTTGACATTGGAAGTGTATGGAAAAAGGGTCAAAATAAAAGGGGTAGAAAAGACAAAATAAAAATTAAAAGACAAGGGCTCATCTATGCATAAAATATAAGCCCCTGCCAGGGTTGTGCTCGACTCAAAAAATTTTGCCAACTCGACTCATCATTCAACTTCGGAATGCCCTGACTCAACTCTGACTCAAACAAGGAGCTGATTTTTTCCCTTGACTCGACTCATGACTCAAGCGGCTCAATGAAAATATGAGTTGACTCAAACTTGACTCAAATTTTTTGTTGAGTCAAATGTGTTGACTCAAAATTGACTCAGATAAAAAATTGTTGAGCGGGGGGGGGGGGTAAAAAAATATGGCAGCAGGGCCAGGCCCAAGTTGTTAAGCGGGGAGAGAATGAAAAACTTATACTATATATTGTTTCTAAAAAGTTGAGTCAGCTGACTCATGTTCCTAAATGTTCTTGACTCAACTCAATGTCAAAAGTTATTTTACTGACTCAACTCTGACTCAACTCAACACCTTAATATTTTTGTCCGACTCAACTCTGACTCAACTCAACAGCTCAACATTTTATCCGACTCGACTCAAATCTGACTCATTTGAGTCAGAGTTGAGTCAAGTTTCTGACTCGACTCATGAGTCAAGCACAACCCTGGCCCCTGGACAATCTAAACAGGTTATTGGGTTACTTTTTGGTAAACTTGCATGCCATTTGAAGACAACGAGAACCATGTCGTCAAATACCGCATTGGAATTAACAGTGTCACAGCTGTTCCAACACATTTAACGTCTACATCTCTGGAACGCCTACGCCTTTCTGTACCATGCGACTCTATCTCGGACCTCTATGGATTGCCGTTATCCAACTTTTCCACAGTTCCCTAGCAAACACGTCCTACCTTCACAACGGCTACCACCTCGGCCCCCTCACCTTCCGAAGGTCCTTGTGAAGCACGTCCACCAGCTGCTGGCGGTTCTCCTCGTAGAATTTGAGCAGGCCGCGCAGGTTGCGCTTGCGGAACTCGAGATCTCGGGTGACGCCGTCATTGTACGCCTCCCGGGCCTGCTGGACCAGCTGTTGGCACGACAAATGGGGAAGGTCAGAGGGTGGAACAAGTGGACGTGATATAGCTCATACTGTAATTATGTAACTATTTAGTTACAGTGATGACACTGGATTTAATGACGTCACTAGCCGACCAGCGAGACGGGAAGAAAGCTCGTACGGATGAACGAAGACGATAAGTGAAACTGCGAGCTACAACCGGTTTTGGCGATAATATTTTTGCGTGATATGAGACGTCCGCGTCGACCCCCAGTGACGCATTTCAGGGAAAATGTCCGGTTATTCTCCGTCCTGTCGCATCACGCAGAACCTATCTCAGGTAGGTAATCAGTTTTATCAAGATGCACGCGGGACTTGCCCTCAGCTTTGGGAGCCGGAAAAACGTGGTCGTCAGAAACGCATCCCAGAGATGCCTCTCCCTCCCTATTATTTAAAGTACAAGCAGGGGCGGCGCCACGAATTTTTGACTGTGGGGTACTAGGGTGAAAAGGGCCCATGCATAGTGAAAGGAGCCCATGCGTGAAAAGGGCCCTTGCGCGGTGAAAAGGGCCCATACATTTATCATGGCGTAACCCGCGCTGTGCTGGGTAGGGGGGCAGTTTTTACGCCCCCCCCCGGTCAGTTTTTTTGCAAATATTTAAAAAATGGCGGCGCGCAGCGCCGCCGTTTTTGGTACACCTGTTCATACATCTTCTCCGCACATGTGAAAATCTCAGACCCGGGTCTTCAAGGTCAGGTCACCAGGTCACGTCAAGTGACCATAAGTCAATGGGAGAAAATTGAAATGCGCCTCTTTTGGACGAATGTCGTTCAAAACGCTCTCAAACATCGGTTCATACGTTTACGTATGAACCGATGTTTGAGAGCGTTTTGTCACAGGTGCAGTTTTCCGATTCAGTGTGTTATGTTTACATATACACACTGAATCGGAAAACTGCACCTGTGACCCCTCTGTATGCCCCTGAGGTGATCTCAGGTCATGAACGGTCACCAGTAGTTTTGTGGCCATAACTTTTGATAGAGACGTGCTAGAGCGGTGAAAACACGTCAGATGTGTTCAGCTCGACCACCAGCACGGCGTGGGTTAAAGGCACTTGCAATAGCAATCTAATAGTCGACAGTGAAAGATGATAGAACCTGGATGCTTTTCTTTTTTTCTTTTTATAAATTTAGTCCGAACCTTTTGATGGGAAGGATTCACAAGGACAGAGCCACCGCTAAGCGAAGTTTGTTGCAGTGACCCTGCCCTCTACCCTCCGATCGCGCAATTCCGATTCTATGGCAGAATTTAGAGTCCAAAGTTTAATGTGCGCACATAGCCGCGCACGGCCGGTCCCCTCACTGACTTTGCCTGCGCCTGGCCTGTGCGCGCGCACGGCCGGTCCCCTCACTGACTTTGCCTGGCTACGGCCTGCCACCAACCGCAACCATACCTGTCAGGAGGCCCATAAACGTCAAGCGCCCGTCGCGCTTCGAACCCGGACTGTTATAACCGGGAACGCGTGCTCTCACCACGTGGAATTCAACGCTCTTCCAACTGAGCTTACGGGACCGGCTTGCCTCGCCAAAAGACTAAAAACACTTAATGCAGTATTGCATACCTATTACCTACCAACAAAGATAACCAGCGTTATTTGCCAAATTACCATCTATTTGAAATGCCTTCCTTTCGTCACGACAAAGATGCTTTGATAAATTGCCAGCCTGCCAATTATTGTTCATATTACGGAATATGGACGAGTTTCTACTACTTTTTAACTACGGGGTGCTACTGTATGCAGCTAACACTGTGCACTGCTTACTGTATAGTGTATATCCCTCGCCGGACCTATTGGTTTTCTACATACGCGCCGACCGAGGGGGGGGGGGGCAATAACGACCCCCTCGGCGTTTCGCCCCTGGTGGAGCTAGCGCGTCGCGGAAAAAACGAGCGTGTGTGCCGTTACAAGATTCAGAGATTGATACCCGATTTTAAGGTCCTAGATCAACCGGTGACCTCTGAGATCAGGTCAAGTGCCCCAAGGTAGGGTTCCGTTTTTGATGAATAGCTTCGCAAAAAACGGCCGCAGAGCCGCGATTTTGGCAGCATCGTGTCGCCGTCGCTCCGGCGCGTCGAATCATATACTTTTTGTTTGAGTGAGGTCAGCCTAGGGTGTTGCCTCGGGTCACGGTCAGGTCAGCGACCCCAGGTCACCAACTTATCGAAGGAGGTCATGTCGCATATCATTCGATTCAGCAGGTCTTCCTGAGTCTATTGGTGGCTTTCCCGACTCGCTAGCTCAATTTGATCGGGAGTTATTGAAGACAAATTATGACCTTAATGACTTCATAAATGACGTCAGCAAGGTCAACATTGCAAAAGTAACGCATGAAACCTTACAATAACTGCATGAAATTATGCTTGAGATAGAAGGAGATCGTTCCCGGCGCCAGAATAGCAGTTTTAGTTTTCATTTTTCCCCATTCACTTTAAATAGTGAGGTCACGAAAATAACCTGACCTCATATGATCTTTAGGAAAAATCCGAGATATACGAGTACAAGTTGTGAGACTCATAATGGATACTAGATCCTGCAAGTTTCATTTCCCTGTGACATCTCCTCTGGCAGTGAGGGCGTTGCGAAGTTGCGACATCTAAAGACCGTGCAGACTGCAGAGGTTCACTTATGACGTCATCAGTCAGTGACCTGACCTGACCCGAAAGTACGATTGGTGTCAAAAGATCCGGCTTGAATCAAAGGTCAGGTATGCCAAGTTTCAGCTCTCTATCGCCGGCGTGTTTGGAGCTATCGCGAAAAAAAACTTAGGCCCCGCCGGCTCCTCAGCCGGCGAGGGTTGATTAAGACACAATTTCCGGGTAATTACCATGCACAATTTGAAATCCATTATTTTTGGTAAGAAATTGTGGTTTTAGAACGGGACAAGTGTTAGTGTTACATAATCTTTTTGGGGATAGAGGATGGAGCCGACTGCAGAGTCGGGTCGCTTTTCGTGGCCCGGAGTCTGAACGCTTTACTCTTAGCTACAGAAAGAGCCTCTGAGCACATGAAGGGGCCCCCTGAACACTTGACGGGGTCCTCTGAGCTACAGAAGGGCCGTGTGAATACACAAGGCCCTCTGAGCGCATGAATAGGCCCCTGAGAGCCCTCTCTTTATGAGGGCCCTCTGAGCGCATACAGAACGCTCGACGGGGCCCCTCTGAGCTACAGAATGGCCCTGAGTAAACGACAGAGTCCCCTAAGTGCATGAAGGGGCCCTCTGATCACTTGACGGGCCCCTGATCGCTTGACGGGGGCCCCTGATTGCTTGACGAGGCCCTCTAAGCCAGAAAAGGCCATATGAGTACGCGACAGAGCTCTCTAAGCAAATGAAGAGGCTCCTGGTTGCGCGTGACAGGGCCATCATATCTTAAAGAAGACTCTCTGAGCATGTAAAGGGCCCCTGAATGCCTGGCAGGGCCCTCTGAGCGACAGAAAAGCTCTGAGCACACGAGAGAGCCCTCTAAACGCATGAAGGGGCCCCTACTTCCTTGATGGGCGCACTCTGAGCACATAATTAGGGTCCCTGATTGCTTGACGGGGGCCCTTTAAGCTACATAAAGGCTCTCTGAGCACACGACAGGGCCCTCTGAGCGCATGAAGGGCCCCTGATCGCGTGATGGGGCCCTCTGAGCTACATAAAAGCTATCTGATCATATAAAGGACCCTTGAAAGTTTGGTAGGGCTCTCTAAGTGACAGAAGGGCACTCTAAACGCATAAAGGGCCCCTGAACGTTTGAGGGGGCCGCCCCTATGAGCTACAGAAAACCCTCCACGTACACGACGGGGCCCTCTGTCCGCATGCAGGGGTCCCTGAATGTTTGACGGGGCCCTCTAAGCCATAGAAAGGCCATATGAGTACACGACAGGGCCCTCTAAGCGCATGAGGAGGCCCCTAATCGCACGTAACGGGCCCTCTGAGCTACAAGAAAGCTCTCTGAGCATATAAAGGGTCCCTGAGCGCCTGACGGGGCTCTCTGAGCGACAAAACGGCCCCCCAGCGCTTAGAGGGCCCCTGAACGCCTGACGAGGGTCCTATGAGCTACAGAAAAGCCCTGAGTACAAGAGAGGGCCCTTTTAACGCATGAAGCGGCCCCTAATTCCTTGGTGAGGGCCCTCCGAGCACATGATAAAGGCCCTGCTTGCTTGACGGGGTCCTCTAAGGTACATAAAGGCCCTTTGAGTACACAGCAGGGCCCTCTAAGCACATGAAGAGGCCCCTAATCGCGCGTGACGGTGCCCTCTGAGCTACATGAAAACTCTCTGAGCATTTAAAGGGCCCCCTGAACGTCTGGCAGGCCTCTCTGAGCGACAGAAGGGCCCCAGCGCTTAAAGGGCCTCTGTACGCTTGACGAGGGCCCTATGAGTTACAGAAAAGCCCTGCGTACGCGAGAGGGCCCTCTAAACTCATGAAGGGGTCCCTGATTCCTTGACGGGGCCCTCTGAGCACATTATAAGGGTCCCTAATCGCTTGACAGGGGCCCCTCTAAGCTACATAAAAGCCCTCTGAATACACGACAGGACAGGCCTTAAAAGCGCCCCACCGATCAGTAGGGGCCTGTAACAGCCGCCTGTTAAATTTTTCAGCATTGGCCCTCTGTCGGCAATAGTTATTTGATCACTGCTAGAACCTATTTAACGGTTTTAGAGGGCCATTGCACGACTACCAAAAAGTCTTGAAAAAGTTCAGATTGGGCTCCTGACTGTGGGGTACTGGGTATATGCAGTACCCCACAGTCAAATGACTGTGGGGTACTAGTACCCCACGTACCCCACGGTGGCGCCGCCCATGAGTACAAGTCTCCTCAAATGAAACCATACAGGACATAGGGAGACGGATCTAATATTTCAATCACACCGATGGGTCGAACCAGGGTCGCTTGAGCTATCAATAGCAGCCAGGATGTTGGAAGCAGCTCTGGCTCACTCACTACAGAAAAAAAAATCATATCATTCAATAAGAGAACCTGG